CGGCTGCCCGCGGCCGCGCACGGCCCCGCGGCCGCGCCGCGCCTGGGTAGGGTTTGAGGCAGAGCTGCCGCCCCGCCGGCACGGGGCTGGGAGCGCACCGCACCGGGAACGGCGGCGGCAGCCGGAGCGGCTCTGCCCCGGGACGGTCGGTGCCAGCCCCTCGGGGTCCTCCGGGCCGAGCCCCCGGTGCCGGCGGGGCTTCGGGGCTGCGGGACGGGCAGGGAGAAAGTTCAGGGGATGCAGCGGGAGCAGCCCGGCTTTGGTGGGTCGTTTAACCGTGCGGCGTCCGGCCTGGGCTCTGTAACGATTTTTTTTTTTTTTGTAAATACGGTTAAAGGAGGAGGAGAGGGACGTTACCGGGTTGTGAGCAAGGGGGAAAGGCGTCTTTGACTCAAACGGTCCCGTGGCAGAGCGGGCGCTGCTGGGGATGGCAGCTCCGCGCCCACGGCGGGCTGGTGACTGTTGCTGAACCTGCGGTGATACAACTTTACTCCTGCTGCTTGTGCTCAAGCCTGCTGGTGTGCTTTGAGGAAAAACCTGTTGCAGGATGGGATTTGTAAATGGCTCGAGGCCAAGGATTTGGTTAGCTGTGTTAGACTTTCTCATTTTCTGCTCTTTCTCTGTGATTTCTCATAAATATTGATGTAGATTTTCAGATTGGGCAAGCTCTTTGCCTTGACTTGAATGTTTGTCATGGTATTTTTTGGTCCCTGGGAGTAACTTTCTTCTGTCTGTTTTCCCCAGAAAACATGAAGGAGGTGAAGGAGCCCAGGCACCGCAAGGACAACAGGCGCCCAGACCAGGAGATTTACAAGCCTGGCCTCTCCAGACTGAGGAGCAAACTTGTGTCACCAAAGCAGGAGGCCTCAGAGAAGGAAAGGAGCAGAGCTGAGGAGAGCAAGGAGGAGAGTGCTGGGAACAAGGACTCTGTGGGAGTGGGAGCTCCAGCTGTGGAGGACTGTGACAAAAGCAATGGCCCCAAGCAGAACGGTCCTTCACAGGAAAAGGAAGAAACAGAGACCAAAGGCGGCCTGCAAAGCCAGGAAAACTCATCCAAGCAGCCCACTGTGGATGAGTGGTGTCCAAAGACCCCCAGGAGAACCAAGAAGCCAGACCAGCAGATCTACCAGCCTGGGAAACGCCTGCACTGTGCTGCTAAAGAGCCCTCCCTGCAGTCGGCCAGCGAGGAGATCACCGGGAGGATGGAGCAGCTGAAGGTCGGGGCAGATGAGGAGCCTGAGAAAGGCGCTGGAAAAGACAACAACAGGAAAACTAAACCCAGCAAGGAGGACAGAGAGGGGAGCCAGGCGGGGGAGGCAGTGAAAGGCTGCAGGGGGGACAAGGGGAGGCGAGCAGAGCGGGGTGACAGGGTGAGGAGGGCGGGGGACGAGGCGCTGCCGGGCAAGCCGGGCTCCACCAAGCGCTATTCCCGCACGGACAAGCGGCGCAGCCGCTACCGCACCTGCAGCACCAGCTCTGCTGGGAGCAACAACAGCACGGACGGGGCCCTGCTCGTGGATGGCGTGGAGAGGAGGCAGGAGCGTGCCAGGGAGAGGATACGTCCTAGGAAGCAGCTGTCTGTGTCCTCCACAGACTCCCTGGACGATGAGAGGATCGATGAGGCTGAGGTGTACGTGCCCAGCAGGAATTCGGACAGGAGAAGGCATTCGGAGCAGAGCCGAGCTTCCAGGAGCGAGAGCGAATGGAGCAGCAATGGCAGGGAAGTCAAGGGACCCTTTCGAGTGACATTTGACAGCAGGACCATGAACAGGGACGTCAGCCTGGCAGATACAGATAAAAAAAAGTCCCTGAAGGCCTCGGAGGTTTCGGAGGCGAGGAGCCAGAGCAGGGAGCCCCAAGGGAGGGGCCGTGGGATTCTGTTCCTGCCTGCCAACACGGACCTCTCTGCCAGCTCCGTGGGTGTCCCTGAAGCCACTCACCCCGGGCCCAGGCTGCTGCTGGGCGGGGCTGGCAGCAAAGGGCCCCGGAGCCGGGGCCGGGGTGGCACTGCCCGCCGCCTGTGGGACCCAAACAACCCGGACCAAAAACCCGCCCTGAAGAGCCAGACTGCTCAGCTTCACTTCCTAGACACGGATGATGAAGTGAGCCCCACCTCCTGGGGGGAAGCCCGCCAGGCCCAGCCCTCCTACTATAAATTCCAAAACTCTGACAACCCCTATTATTACCCTCGTGCCTCCGGGCAAGGCCCCCAGTATCCCTACAGTGCATATTCCCTGCAGTATCCTATGGGTCCAACCAACGGGGTGTACCCTGGAGCCTATTACCCCGGGTACCCTGGCCAGGCAGGGCAGTACCTGTGTGGCCCACTCCCCCCTACTCCTCTGAGCCCCGAGATGGAGCAGCAGATGAGGAACATGCAGCAGCAGGAGCTCAGCAAACTGCTGCGTGAG